CCGCCTCCTTGTTTTCTATTCCTCTAAAAATATTTGGCTGTGTCTGTTTTGTCTATAATCACTTTCCTACTCGTGGTTAGTTGGACCCTCGTTCCCTCAGATGTGTTTTCCTTGGGTACTCTCCTACTCATAAAGGGTATAAGTGTTACCACCCTCCTTCTCGTAAGTGGTTTGTGTCCATGAATGTCACATTCTTTGAGTCCCAGTCCTATTTCTTACCCTCTCCGGTGTCCCAGTCCTTCCTTCACGGGGAACCTTGGTGTGAAGTAATTCCTGTGATTCCTATTGTGGAACCAGTTGCTCTTGCACCACCATCTCCTACTGGGCCTACAGAACCCAATGTCACCAAGGATAGGGAAGGGCAAGTATATGTCAGGCACAAAGACAGACAGAAAGTTACCTAGATACAAGAGACCACTTTTGCTCCTCCACTGCCATCTCCTGCTTCTGATGAGCGTTCAAGTAACTTTGAATCTTTTGAGTCCATTGATCTTGATGTTCCTATTGCCAAGAGAAAGGGTGTACAATCTTGTACTCAACATCCTATCTCCAATTTTGTGTCATACTCTCATTTGTCGTCCTCATATAGAGCGTTTGTGTCAAATATTTCCTTTATTAGCATTCCTAGCCATTTTCAGGATGCTCTTGTTACCTCTGCGTGGAAACTTGACATGATTGAGGAAATGAAAGCACTTAAGAAGAATGTCACTTGGGAATTGACTGGGTTACCTAATGGCAAACGACCTGTGGGATGCAAATGAGTTTATACTATGAAACACAAAGCGAATGGTTCTATTAAGCGTTACAAGGCTAGACTTGTGGCAAAAGGGTTCATTCAGACATATGGCATTGACTATCAGGAGACCTTTGTACCCGTGGCTAAGATGAATTCAGTCAGAGTTCTTCTCTCTCTAGCAGCTAATCTAGATTGGCCACTTCATCAGTTTGATGTTAAGAATTCCTTTCTCCATGGTGACCTCAAAGAAGAGGTATATATGGACATTCCTCCTGGTTTTGAGGATCATCAGACAAAAGGCAAAGTATGCAGGCTTTGGAAGTCATTACATGGTTTTAAACAGTCTCCAAGGGCTTGGTTTGAGAGATTCACTCAGGCTATGCTTAAATATGGCTTCAAACAGAGTCAGGCAGATCACACATTATTTATGAAACATTCCTCACTTGGTAAGACTACAGCACTATTATTTATGTAGATGACATAGTTCTTATGGGCGATGATAATGAGGAAATTCCTCTATTGAAGAAATATTTAGCCAGTGAGTTTGAAATCAAAGACTTGGGGAGCTTAAAGTATTTTCTGAGAATTGAAGTTGTTCGCTTCAAGGATGAGATATTTATCTCACAGAAGAAGAATGTGCTTGATCTGTTAAAGGAAACTGGGATGCTTGGTTGCAAGGCTTGTGACACTCCACTGGAACCCAATCAGAAACTGAGGGATGATAAAGGAGGAGCAGTTGTTGACAAGGGGAGCTATCAGCGATTAGTGGGAAAGCTCATTTACCTATCTCACTCCCATCCTGATATTGTTGTTACTGTCAGTGTGGTTAGCCAATTTATGCATGCTCCTAATCAGATTCACTTCAAGGCTGTCATGAGAATTTTGAGGTACTTAAAGTCTGCTTCTGGTAAGGGTCTTTATTTTTCAAAGTATGATCATCTTCGTGTGGAAGCCTATACAGATGTTGACTGGGCTAGATCAGTGACTGATAGGAGATCGACTTCAGGATATTGCACCTTTGTTGGAGGCAACCTAGTTACTTGGAGGAGTAAAAAACATAATGTGGTTGTCAGGTCAAGTGCAGAAGCTGAGTTTAGAGCTATGGCACAAGGGGTGTGTGAGCTCTTATAGATCAAGTTATTGTCAAGTGATCTAGGTATTGATCAGACGAACTCCATGCGTTTATACTGTGATAATAAGGCCGCTATCAACATCGCTCACAATCCGGTTCAATATGACAGGACAAAGCATGTTGAGATTGATCACCACTTCATTCAAGAGAAACTTACTAGTGGCACAATATGTGCTCCTTTTGTGCAGTCTGGTGAACAACTTGCTGACATCCTCACCAAGGGCATTGGGAGTAAGCCATTTCATGGCATCTTAGGCAAGCTGGGCATGAGAGATATCTACGCACCAGCTTGAGGGGGAGTGTTAGAATAATATATTATTATTTTAGTTATTGTTTTGTAATTATTTTATGCCTTAGAACTTCCCTTGTAATTATTAATTTCATTAATATAAATAGGGGATGATATCCTAATCATTTCCTAATCTTGGAATTCTCCAAAATAACACTCATTGCGTAACTATTGATACATCAGATGGCATTTTGATAGCAAAAGAATTTACATGGTGAAGTGTAAGTACTCATGGGAAGAAATCATCTCGGAGCAACTCCACCTATTTTAGTACATATTGTTGAATATAGAAATTAAAGTACATAGAATCTTTTTATTTTTAGTATTATGTATATAATTTGTGATTGTGTCAATCACTGATTTAATATTGTTTCCTTATTTATATCGTTTCCTAAATTGTTTCATAAATCTATTATATATACATGGATTTACCTCATTCATGGGTAAGCCAAATAATCCTTTTCATTCTTTTTGGTATCTAAGCGTTGGTTAAGTACCTAATAATTTTGCTTCACTTGCGGGCGACAGCCTTGCCTTAGTCCCCCGCCAGACCTCAACCCATTCCACTGCCATATTTTCTTTCAATATCACTTCGTGGTGATCTCAAATATCCAAGTTTATTCCTATCTCAAACATCTCTATCATAGTTTTGTTATTAGCAATCTTTTTTTTTTTGTGTGTGTTTTTGTTTCACTTTGTCTTTTCTTCTATTTCAACCTCAAATAGGTTTCTATCTTCAAACCTATTTGAGTTTGAGGGGGGTATTATATTTATATCATGGTGAGCATGGTGATATACCATGTGAACCACCTAAGCCACCCTCTCTGGCACACAACCTAAGTCGCCCCCTTGGCGTACCACCTAAGCCCCCCCTTCTGGCGCACAACTAAAGCCGCCCCTCTAGCACACCACCAAAGCTGTTCTGGCTCACCTTCTAATAAGCTGCCCCTTGGCGAACTCAGTCATCTGTTGTCATCATCGTTTAACACCACGTCATAAGTTATGTATGTGCCACACTTGCTGGTTCAACATCCGGCTAGTTCTTACAACGATCCGGCAAGATCCCGTAAACTGTCCCGACATTGATCCCGATCAGTTGATTCTTTTAAACTGTCCTAACATTGATTCCGATCAGTTTCTTCTAGGGCAATTCAGTCCCTGTTTTTTCCCTTTCTAGGGTGTGGTGCTGATGTATTAAGCACTTTTTGGCCTTTTTTATTTAGTAGACTATTAGATTTGTTCGATAGCATTTATTTAGACTAGCCGTTGAGTTTTTTCCGGCTTCTTCCAGTCATCCATTGACAAGCTGTGATTGTTGAACATTTTCACATCATCTTAAGGAAGAGTGTTGAATATAGAAATCACCACTACCACCTCACCTACTCCACTAAACCTAACCCACTACACCACTACCACCTCCACTTCACCTACTCTCCACCTACTCCCAAACACACTCCTATATAATAGGAATCCTTGTAATTGTAATATACACAACATATCAATACATCAATCAATAATACATACAATTTATTCTCTCTCTATTTCTCTTTATACATTAAATTTTACAGAACACATAGAATCTTTTTATTTTTAGTATTATGTATATAATCTGTGATTGTGTCAATCACTGATTTAGTATTGTTTTCTTATTTATATCATTTCCTAAATTGTATCATGAATCTATTATATATACATGACTTTTATCTCATTCATGGATAAGCCAAATAAATCTTTTCATATATCTGCTTATATGGTAGGGTAGTCGACTAATCTTTTTTTATCCTCAAGGGGAGTGAAATTTGTGATCACGGTGAAGATTTGGGGAATCTCTTCTATTGGCTGAACTTACACAACCAAATGAAAGCTTTGATGTTAGCACTAAAGTGTGGTGCTTAGTTGCACAAAGCAGGAGCGGGAGTAGGGACAAGAGCAAGAGCAAGTGCGGGAGTGGAGGCGGCAAAGTGAAAGCACAAAAGTTTCTAAAGTTGGGAGCACCTACATGAGCGTGAGCGTGTTTATATTTTATATAAAATTTATAATTATATCCTAACAATTTTTTTTTTCCTTTTTTTTGTTTACTTAGTTGTAAATTGTAATGTATGTGTTAAAATATAAATAAATATTATAGATTAATGTTGACTACAAATTGTCTTTGTTAAATATAAAGTATTAGAATAAGTATGAGTTGTTTTTATTTGTTTATTTGAGATTTGTACGCTTGAGAGTAGCTGTATTAGTTGGGAGTGAGTTTCTTACAACTTACAAGTTTCTTACTTGAGAACTCATAATCGAGTTTCTGAGTAGGAAATGTTACCCAAGAGTTTCTTGCTACTAAGTGTGAGTCATGTATTGCTTCAACAAGAATCACTTATCTTGGTCCGAGCTATTTATCCATAAACTATAGGGACAAACACTACCCACCAAGAGATGGAAAATTTATGTCTCTAATTTCTTTGTTTGATGGAGTATATGTACATTATTGAAGAACTTATACCAGAGTCCCAAGAGTTGCCACATGGGTCTTTCAATCAATATAAGAAGAAGAAAAAAAGGCACCGCATAATTGAAGTACATAGATAACAAATGTGAATTTTCAAAGCTATCAATTGAAAGAGGTGCATTAAAATTACCAATTTGTTATCATGGGAGTTTACAGTAGTAAGCTTCTCTTACATTACCAATTTGTTCAATTTCACTGAAGTTTGGACTAGTAAGTTACTGTCATAGTATACCCAAAGAAGTTATTTAAGTAATACAAAATTATTCAATGCAAAATATCAAAAGTAAACTACTAGCAAGCATTGCAAAAGTAAATATGCAAGGAACAAGCAATTGACACTTACATCTCGGAGCGTTCGAGGGTTTATGAAGTATTGAGTGAGAAAATCCTTCACAGTGTTAATGTTTTTACTGCACAAACGGTCATGGAAAGGACCATCTTTGCCAATGTTTTTTAGTCGCCACACCTCATCATGCAAATGTGGGGGGTAGTGCTTCACATACACTGCAACAGAAAACTCAAATTTCACTCAAGTATCTATCACGCTTCTACTAATGATAAGTTAATAAGACTTCCTATTATCTCTGACTTTTCTGCTTTCAGTCTCATAAGCTTCTGGGCGTGCAAGAAAGTAATAGAAAAAAAACAAGTTATTATATCACTGGAACGTAGCTTTCATAGTCATGACTATAATCATGCAAATAATTATGGACATTAATACAATTGTAATTTCACATTTGGTATTGTGAAACCATTCCCACCCATAGCAGCAGGGGCACAAAATAAGATAAATAAGCTGACAGCAACGAGTTCAATTGTAAGTTTTCTGAATGAAACTGTATATTAGATTGAATTAATTGAACAAAGAATACAACACTTATATAGAATACTAATTCCTAATCCTAAATGAATACATCACTGATATAGAATTCTAATAGATATAGAACATCTAATAGATATAGAATACTAAGTCCTAATCCTAAAAGGAAAAAGGAGAACACTAAATATAGACATATTCTCACACCCCCGCTCAAACTCAAGGTGTTTTAGCAGAAAACACTAAGAGTTTGTCAAGAAAAAACTAAAACCGAGCAGTGGTGTGAGTCTTGGTGAAGAAGTCAGCAAGTTGCAGAGTCGAAGAGACAACAGGAAGCGAGATAAAGCCAGACTGCAGATGCTAACGGACGAAGTGACAATCAATCTCAATGTGTTTTGTCCATTCATAAAAGACAGTGTTATGAGCAATTTGAATAACACTTCAGTTGTCACAATAGAGAGAGGTCGAGGAAGACTGAAGGGCACTCAAGTCAAATAAGAGACCACGAAACCAAACAATTTCAGCAATAGCATGAGTCATAGCACGATACTCAGCTTTGGTAGTAGAACGGGTAACAACAGTGTGTTTCTTACTTTTCCAAGAAATTAGGAAATCGCCAAGAAACATACAGAAACCAGAAGTAGATTTACGATCAATAACATCACCAGCCCAATCAGCATCAGCATAAGTCACCAAATCTAATGAAGAAGTAGAAGAGAATAGCAAGCCCTGAACGATAGTACTGCGAAGATAGCGAAGGATCCGAAGTAAAGCAGCCTAATGTGTAGAGCGAGTAGAAACAAACCGACTAACCACATGGACAGCATAGGCAAGGTCAGGGCAAGTAACTGTCAGATAGACTAAGCAATCTACAAGCTCGCGATATAACGTAGGATCGTCTAGAGGAAAATCATCAATAGTGTTGAGCTTCACATTAAGCTCAATGGGGGCATCATAAAGCTTAATGTCAGTAAGTCCGGTACGATGGATAACCTTGTTGGCATACTTAACCTAGGAGAGAAAGTAACCCTTGGGAGAAGAAGCCACCTCAAAACCAAGAAAATATTGCAAAGGTCCTAGATCCTTCATTTCGAAGGTGCGGAAGAGATGCGGCTTGACCTTAGAGATAGCAAAAGAGTCAAAGCCAGTGATGATCATATCATCCATATATAGTAAGAGAGCAACAAAACCAGCCGAGACATGTCTCAGAAATAAAGCAGAGTCGGAAGCAGAAGGATGAAACCCAAGCTCAGTAATAGTAGTCTGAAAGGGATCATACCAAGCATGAGGAGACTGCTTCAGACCATACAGAGCACGCCGAAGACGACAAACCTGGCTAGAGGAATAGTGAAGACCAGGGGGAGGACGCATGTAAACCTCCTCAGTGAGATGGCCATTAAAAAAAGTATTCTTAACATCCATTTGATAAAGAGGCCAAGAACGAATAGCAACGATAGAGATCAAAGTACGGACAATAGTCATCTTGGCAACAGGAGTAAATGTCTCCTCATAATCAATACCATACTCCTGGGAGAAACCTTTGACAACCAAACGAGCTTTGTAGCGCTCAAGAGAACCATCAGAATGAGTCTTGACTTTGTAGACTCATTTGCAACCAACTAGATTCTTACCAGCAGGTAAAGGAACTAACTCTCAAGTACTAGTTTTTTGTAAAGCAAACAACTCATCCTCCATAATGTGAACCCAATGAGGAGCCTGACATGCCTCCTTGTAAGACTGAGGTTCTACAAAAGAGTGAATGGCAGACAAAAAGGTACGATAGGAAGCAGAAAAATATATATTAGACTAACCCAACCTGTTTGGAGGATGATGCGCTCGAGAAGGATATCGATGTGCAGCAGGATCAGAGTCGTCAGAAGCAGGAGGATCAGCAGCAGGGGCAGAGACAACTAGTGGAGGAGGAGCCTTGCGACGAGAATAAACTAACAATGGAGGAGGAGAAGAAGTCGAAGGAGGAGAAGCAGCCAGAGGTGAAGTAGGAGAAGAAGATGGAACAAGCTCAGGAGGAACAGTGGAGATGTACTCATCCGACGGGATCTCAACCAAATCCTCTTTGGAAACTAGAGCGGTGAGAGGAGGAAGCTGAAAGTAAGATAGACGTTCGAGAAAGGCAACATGGCAGGAGATATAAAGGCGACGGGAAACAAGGTCATAACAGCGATAACCTTTCTAAGTGAGATTATAACCCAAAAAGACACATAGGACAGACTAGGCACTAAATTTGGTCCTATCTTTATGAGATAAAAGGACAAAACAAGCAGATCCAAACACACGAAGGAGGGAGTAATTAGAAAGTTGAGAAAATAGAGTCTCATAAGGAGACCGACCAAAAAGAAGGGGGATAGGCATATGATTGAGAAGAAAAGCAACAGTAAGAATTGCCTCACCCCAAAACGGAGCCGGAACGAAGGCAGAGAGAATGAGAGACCTAGCTGTCTCAAGGAGATGACGGTATTTACGCTCAGCTCGACCATTTTGGGCAGGTGTATCAATACAAGAAGTTTGGTGAATAGTTCCCAATTTGGCCAAATATTCACAGAATTCAGTTTTAAAGTATTTCCCACCCAAGTCAAACCGCAACAATTTAATAGTAGACCCAAACAGTGCAGTGACCATAGACTGGAAAGTACGGTATATCTAGTAAAAGTTAGACTTATGAGTCATAAGATAAACCCACGTGTAACGGGTGCAATCATCAATAAAAGGCACATAGTATGCAGAATCCTTTTTAGTAAAAACATGAGAGGGTCCCCAGACATCAGTATGCATAAGAGAAAAAGGAGAAACAGAAATAGATGTACTTTTATTCAATGGTAAAGCTGACATTTCAACAAGTTTACAACATTCATCAATTTGACTAAGAGAAATTTTACCCAACAATCATGACTAAGTTAAAGACCGTAAGCGGTCAACAGACAAATGACCGAGACGAGAATGCCATAAGTAAAACAGACTCGACTGAGAGTCTAACTGAAACGAGGAAAGTGCAGCTGAAGAGGTAGATAAGGGGAGATGCAAGCTTTCGACCACATAGAGATCTCCAACTCTACGGCCGGTCCCAATCTGCTTTTTGGACACCCGATCCTGCACACAATAGACATAAGAGGAAAAGATAATATCAAAACCAGATGCATCAAGTTGACTGATAGATAATAAACTGACAGATAACTGAGGGACATAAAGAACAAAAGAAATAGTAACAACAGACATGGCAGAAGGTAAGACAAACCCAATAGACAGAACAAACATACCAAGCCCATTAACAGTATTAATAGTAATAGGAACGGGTGGGGAAATACAATTTTGATGTAAGGAAATGTGAGGAGTCATATGATAAGAGGCATCGGAATCAAAAAGTCAAACAGAAGAAGGGATACCTGAAAACGACCCAAGCAAACCTGAATGAAGAGAGGTAAGAGCGGAGGTAGAGGGGATGGCTGAAGGCTGGATAGGATATGCTGAAGTTGTGCAACCTGAGCAGTCAAGAAAGCTAAGTCAATATCGGGAGCCGGAGTAGATGCAGTGTAAGCGGCAGGAGGTCTGAAAATATCCGAAGTAGGACCGCGGAACTGTGTTTGAGAAGACGGAGCAGGCTAACGTCCCTTCTTGGGACAGTTGTTCTTCCAATAACCCTTCTGATGGTAGAAAGCACACTCATCTGGCCCTAATGTTCCTTTCTTGGGTTTCGCAGTGGCCTGAAGCTGATAAGGAGGTGGAGTCAATAACAAGGGAGGCCTGGCAGAAGCCAAGAAGACAGAAGGAGGCAGAGTTTGACTGGCCGTCTTAAGATGGATTTCCTCGGAGAGGAGCTCATGAACAATAGCATCCACAGAGAGAAAAGGAGATCGGCGAAGGATGCCACCTCGGACAGCCTCATACTGAAGGAAGAAAACCGTTAAGAACTGCACTAAACGACCCTGCTCCCAAAACTCAATATAAGCGTCCAGTATCTTGAGACTAGGCAGTTCCATAAGAGCCAACTGATCCCAGAGACTGGTCATCTCAATATAGAAGTCCTGAATAGTCTGATCCCGCTGATGAGCACTCTGAATAGCTGTTTCTAACTCATACCGCTTGGCAAAGTTAGACTGCTAATAAACACCTAGTAAATAATCTCACACCTCCCTGGCAGTACTGTACTTGGAAAACATCATTCCAATACAGTTATCCACAGAATTATGAAACCAGGTCAGAACTTGGGCATTATCACAATCCCAAGTGTCAGAAAAAGTCAGATACCCTTCCGCCTTCGGGTCCAATGGACGAGGAACAGAACCAGAAACATAAACATAGCCCCATTTTTTTTTTTATCAAGAAGAAAATTCTTCATAACACTGGCCCAATAGGCATAATTGCCACTAGTGAGTTTATATTTAATGACTTGGATTTTAGTATCCGACATTGTAATAAAACAAAGTTTATGATGTCCAAGTATAAATAAAACAAATTAATTAGAGGGATCAAATTGTAATAATCCCAAAGTTAGCACAGCTAGGTCAAATACTGATGAACACAGATACCAATAACAATACGAGAGAGAGAGAGAGAGAGAGAGAGAGAGAGAGAGAGAGAGAGAGAGACCTTCGCTATAGAGAGAACCACCTTGTGAAGCCAAATCGAGAAAAAGAGAGAGAGAGACCTTCGCGACAGAGAGAACCACCTTGCGAAGCCAGATTGTGAGAGACTGAACCTGATGGAATCAATCAATCGAGAGGAACAAGAGCAAACCAGGATCGCAAGTCTGGTGAGAAGGGATATCAACCACGATCGACTTGAACAGAGACCAAACGAATCAGATGGGTTAACTCGAACCAAGACCAGATGAATTGAACCCAATCTCGAATAAGATGGGTCGTACGTATTCACATGGTTGAACCAGAGAGTTCAATGAAACAGAAAAGCTTCAACAATGGCCGCTAGGGTTTCGAACCAGTCTCTGATATCATGTAAGTTTTCTGAATGAAACTGTATATTAGATTAAATTAATTGAACAAAGAATACAACACTTATATAGAACACTAATTCCTAATCCTAAATGAATACATCACTGATATAGAATTCTAATAGATATAAAACATCTAATAGATGTAGAACACTAAGTCCTAATCCTAAAAGGAAAAAGAAGAACACTGAATACAGGCATATTCTCACACAAACTTGAAAGGATATGACAAGAAATCTGCAAAACAGTTAACAAGCAAATAACTGTGATACCCCTGTCCCGTAATATGCACTCATGGTCTGAAAGCAGTGAGAATAAATAATCACACATTATTAAGCTAGACATTGCAATACTATGAAAGGAAATTAATTGATTAAAAATGAAACACCCTGTCATACTCAAATAAACCCAAACCTCCCCTGCCTGTTAGCTTTTAATGTGACCATTAAAACCCTAAAATATTCATTATTTAGGTCCCTTCAAAAAGCTTCTGCTCTACAGTTCCTCCCAGCTGAAATTGTTGAAAATGAAACCAAAATACTTTTATTTTTTTATTTCTTATTTACTTATCAAGAAACCTAGAAGTCTTCTTCCATCTTATAAAACCATGACTTTAGAAACTTTCTATAGCCAAACCCTGCCACAAATAATAAGCAGCCTAGGGCCTAGTTTCCTAATCTATCCTACATCAATATGGTATCAAAACAAACGATCCAAATTTTCTTCAACTTTAATTCTTTCTTTTTACCACTGTAGATGGTCATTTAATTCAGAAAAAAACTTAAAAGTGGCATCACAATAAAACTACTTACCTAATATTCTCAGACTTTTTGCTTATGTACATTGAAAAGAAAATTGCTTAAAAGATTATTAGAGAGTCAAGGGTGTTTCTAAATACAACGAAAATTTTTCTCTCTGCACTCACATTCTCTTTAAGGTGCAAGTGTTTCTTCATAAGGTACAACTCTATAACATATTAATGTTTTTCAACATCCTACTTCATTCAGCACTTTTGTCCCAGAGTCGAAAATTTTTCTTGCCAAATACTAAATGTTTTTATATACAATAACATCACATGCTTTTTCTGCAGCATAATTATAATCTATTTTGATACTCAAGATAGTAATCAAATAGTCAGATCTTGACAAGCATATAGCTGAAAATAATGAGTCAGAAAAACTTACAGGTGCTGCGGCGATCCTTGACAAAAAAGGATTCAGTCAGTGCTTCTCTTACTCTAGCCCCATTAAAATTATCCACAACTTTTGCCCCTAGCCTGAGTTCACATCTCTTCATCCAATTTGCATTATGTGTAAAAGAAATCTCACCTACAAAACCGATGCCTTCTTTCAGATTCAGATACACATTTCCACTAAGAAGAGATTTTCTTCCTTCCTTTTCTCTAACAATCTTATTGTTAAAGTCTTCAAGTGCCGAATTGCTTCTTGTATCACCATCAAAATCACCCTCAACAACTACAATCTCAACTTTTGCTGATGCTTCAGGCCCAGAATTAACCAGTTGCTCAGTGATAGTATCAAATAAAGCGATTTCAATGGGAATATCTCCTTCTCCTTTAATGTGTTTTCCAGTTAAAACTGGAAGGGAGAGTTTGTTTAAGAACTTTAGTTGGAAGCTTCTTGATTCCACAGAATGTATCCCACTTCCAGAACTCCTGAATGAGAATTACAGGGATGTGTCAGCTGCAAAATTGTCATTGATAATGATGATTAAACTTAAACTACTTTAATATTATCTCTTACTGCTTCAAGCTAGCCACCGCCAATTCAATTTCTTGTCTGACCTGAAAGGTCATGAATCATTAATAAGATACTGTAGTCTATAGATTGCTTCTACAATTACATTTAGACTTAGATAAGGTACATAATGTGTTTCTCATGTGAAGTTTCTCACATTAGTTTATATTAGTAATTATTGTTTTAACTCCGAGACAGAGTACTCTAAGATATATTTGTATTAAAGACATGGATACAAGATTCACAAGTCTTGTTCTCTCTATAATTCATTTATGAAATGACAAATGAGAAATGCTATATGCCACCGATTTTTCACCACCGTTTCGCATCACCGCCCAGGTGGATACTGATGATTGGTTCCTTGTTCAGATAAATATCTCCATATTAATGAACTAACATTTGAGGAGTTAGAAAAACCAAAAACATTCAGATGCGTTGACAACTACATACATTCATTAATTTGTATTTAACATTCCACACTAGCTGAAGGAGTGAAATGAATGAAGGTTCAAAGTAAAATTTCATGGTAGTTGTAGTAAAGATCTAGGACTAGGAGTGAGTGAGTCCTGCTCTGATCTAGTAGTGGAGAGGAAGTCTCCTGTTGTTTAGCTTATTCTTGCCTGACGATAATAAACTTGAGAAGTAAAAAATGTGCATATAGTGGAATTTCATCAACTACTTTAGCAACTAAAAATTCTTCTTATTGTCCATTGTCACAAACATAAATTCTATAAAGATGGTCAAAATATTTTCAAACTCCCCACAGACTAAATAGAAACAACGGCAGGGCTATACGCTATTTGCTAATTTGCTAGGATATCTCAAGCACTTCACTAGCAAAGGACATAAGAGCATGAGTCGCTAATATTTGAAATAAATAAAAGTGTGTGATGAGCAACCTTCTCAAAAGTTAAGACATTCATATAATTGTAATATAAATTTCACTCCCATCCCATGTTAACCACACAGTAACACTAAACAGAACCACAAATTCAGAAAGCGGTATTAGTTGTGAAGAAAGGGCATACACAAAGTCCAACAACACAATACAGAATTAGCCTCAATTCTTCTTTAACATTAAGTTTTGAGAAACTCAGAACATTTACACACTCATGCCTGTAATCATGTATAAAAACAAACACATTTATGTATCTATGTAGATATATGCACAAAAATATATGTGTATTGAATCCTTTACACAAGGCACATATAAACGCACACAGCATACATTTATATCTTCAACTAATGTAATGTATGTATTTAAGTATGTGCGCATGCACACAAAGAACTGAAGAAGTCATCTGCATATTGAGTCCATCATACATTCCCCATAAGGTAATTTTAATGTGGCCGATATCCCCCTCTTCTGCAGTCAGTTTTGTTATAGCACATGCTGCTCCAACTAATTGTCCACCCTCTCCGAGTGTGTTTTTTTATGTTACATACGGTCATGCCCATGATTGTTAGAACCTTACGATTCGTGATTTAATGTGAATTTCAACCAAAATGATTTGATTCATGCTATTGAATTTTAAATTGAATGAAACTTGTGATTCAATTGTGATTCAGTACAATTCAATTTTGTTTGCATAAAGCATGAAACAATGACATTTTTGCAATATAAAAAAAGAGATCAATTACTATTGATATATGTAATTATATATATGTAGAATTATATATTATCTATGAAGCATGGGTACGGGTACGGGTACGCATATGGTACGGTTACGTTGATACGGTAAAATCCAAAAAAAGTATGGTACGGGTACAGCTTGGTACGCTTGTAAAAAAAATATTTATTTTTAATTTAGAGTAATTCAAAAATTAATTAAATGGTTTAATTTGTTAAGATCCAACCTATAATTAACATATAATGCCAAAAATAAAGGTACAAATCAAAATTAAATGTCAATACATTAAATAACTTACAAACCATAGTTTAATTTTAAATCATGCTAAACATAAAACTAGAAACAAAAAGAATTCTGGTGAAAAGAATTTTATCTCTGTAGTGAAAGAAAATATTATTTCAATTAAGGTACAGTACGATTTGGATATATACTAGATACGTCTGGGTACGCCAAAAAATAAGAAGAAAAAATTTGGATATATTATGTTGAATAAATATACAACATGTTTTTCGAAGTACCCATACTTCATAGTATATTATGTTGAATAAATTGAATCTTACAATTCATGATTCAATATGATTCACGACTCACTACTTTAGCAAAATGATTAATGATTCCATTCGTGATTTGGCAACAATAGCCGTGCCTTACAAGCACGCTTGTGCATTGCACACGTATATACACACTTTTCTTCTTCTTCTTTTTTTTGGGGGATAAAATGTATATACACACTTAATAGATATATGTGTAATCATGTGTTGAATTTAATAATTGCCACGAAATGCACTCACAACTCTAGAAATCAAAGGCATGACATTTTTTTCTATAGCTTCCTGGACCGTGTGGTGAACCGTACGGATCACAAAAACCTGCAGCTCCTCCCTGTCAGATGAAGAACAATTGCAATAAATCAAAACAAAAGGCAACAAAATTTCCAAAAAATTCACAATATCAAAAGCAATTCTCACAAAACGAGCAAAACCCAGACCAGTTTCAAATTTTAGCTTAGCAGTCCTCAATATTAACCATTTAAAACAGCAATTCTCACAAAATAAGCAAAACCCAGTTCAGTTTTCACATAGTTTTCCAATTCTACATTAGCAGTGCACAATATTATCAAAGAAAAATGAAGAATTAGAAAAGAATGCCTCACTTTCTAAACGAAACCCGAGTCTGCTCATCCTCTGAACTGTCATTCTGGTCTTCCCACTGTTGAATCTGAGACATCTCTTTGGGAAGAAACAAAAAGAGCACAAAAGGGTATGTGTATTTTGTGGGCGTTAAAACTTTTGAGTACCTGATTTGGGAAGAGAATGGTTTGATGAAGAAAAACCCTGAAATGATTGATGATCAAAGCGACTACTAGTTTTGGAGTATATAGAAGAACACTAACTTTTTGGTGATTTCAGTCTGCTTGACTATAAAAAGTCGGCGAGCCCCAAGGAACGCGGTGTGGTGGTTATTATTATTATTATTTTTTTTGAAGACTAAAATATTAAAGCCCGCCAACACACCGACCAACACTCTCTCACTCGCTTTCTTGTAGTGGTGTGGTGGAGAGTTGTAGTGTGACTTGTCTACGTTGTAGAACTTTTTAGGAAATTCCAAATTGAGTTAACAATAACAACCGTGCTGGGCCCCCAGTAGCGATGAGTCCCAGCACCCCCAGCTTCAACTGTCCTTATGTGCTCTCTAGATTAAAAAGAAATAAAAAAACAGTGAGGTTGGTGAGGATCACTCTCACTGGGAGTCCAAGATTATACTAACAATAATGACTCAGACCTCTTTTTTTTGTTACCCCCTTGACCCCTCTTAACATGATTGGTCAGTTTTTCTTTTTTTATTTTTTTTTTCTTCTCTTCTAATCACCACCTGTCACGTGTATGTGGGGGTGGTGATTGGGAGCAAGGATCCTCTAGAATTTTTTTTTCCTAAAGTTTCCTGGAGTGGTGCATTGTGTGGTTGAGATTTAATGACAAGTCACATCAATTTTTCAGCATTAAATCTCAACCACACAATACACAATTTTAGGAAACTTTAAGAAAAAAATACTCTAGAGGATCCTTGGTGGGTGATTAGAGGGGTCTCAACCGTTAGCATAATAATTAATTGTGCTAATGGTTCTTGAATATATGTTATGTTATACTTTAATCTCTGATATTTTAATTATTATGCTTTGATCTCTAAAATATATTATATGTTTGTTTGAATTGAGAGATTTGTAGAGAAAATAGGAGAAATTGATTTTTTTTTATAGTCATAATCACTTGTTTAAATAATTAAATATGATAGAAAAGAGAGAAAAAAAAATTAAATAAAGTGACTTCTCTTATAATTTACTTTTTAAATCTTTTCAAAATTTATTAGGGTTTTGTCTTAGTAGTTGTGTAGAACCACTTTATAATGTGAGATTATGAATTCAACTCTTATATATAGAGGTGTAAAAAAAATCAATGGAACTAGTAAACCGGTCCAATACAGTCTAAACCGTCAATTTGGTCTGATTTTTATTAGTTTCGGTTCTGATTCTGATTCTGAAAATGATGGAACCGTTCAAATCGGTCCAGATTTCAGTTCTAAGACTTTAGTTACAATTTTGAACCGAACAGAATCGTGAGATATTTTTTTTTATATTTTTATATGTAAAAATTAAAATATAAAAATCTCTTAGCCTTCATTATAAAATTGATAAACTCCAACCAACTTAACCAAATTAATTATCATTAATTTGTTTACTAACATAGAATATATATCATATTTATTGTTATATAAAATTTCTAGATATGTAAAATAAAATCGAACCAAACCGGTTTTTATAGTTCGGTTCTAATTCGGTGCCACATTTTAACGGTTCGGTTACTGTTTTAATTTTTTTGAAATCGGTTCATACGATTCGGTTCTTAATTTACTTTAAAATCAAATCAATTCGATCTGTGTACATCCCTATCTATAGAGGGGAGTTTGATATTTATGGTGTTTATTTCTCCCCATCATTGGGGTTGTATGTAGTTGTTTGGGCTAATAGTGGTAGTTTTGGGCCAGTGATGTTAATTGATGGATTTGGTGACGGTTAGCTTTTTAACTATTGTTAGACTAGTGGTCAATTTGATGTAATAGTTCTCATGTGTGCAGTTACTCTCTTAACAAAAAAAAAAAAAAAAACTATTTGGAAATTAAATAAAAAAAGGAAATTGAATGGAGATGGAAATTTAATAAAAATAGAAGTTGAATAAAAAAAATTTTGGTAAAATGAAATAAAACAATTTATTTTCTTTTATCTTATTTACTCTATAATGTAATTTATCCAAATAAGATTGAAAAGAGATCACAATTTTTTCCCTCTCTATTTTCTTTTCTATCGTAGATTCTCAAATGTAATGTTAATGCCTACATCATTCAAAATCAGTAATGGAAGAGGGGTGTTTTTTAAATTTTACATAAGGTTTTAACAAAATTAAAATGATGAAATACACACATGGCCTCAAAATATGTATTTTGTGAAAGATGAACTTTACAATGGTGATGATCGAGAGGCCTGTGAGGGTGTTTATCACACAAGACGGAATTGATAATCCGGAAGCAAATGGAGTGTTTATATATATACCGTTTCCTTGTTTTTGGAAGTAAATCATAAGGCCTATTGTTCCAACTATTTATAAGTATTTTGATAACCTTTGCCAAGAGTTATCATGATGTATAGGAATAGATACAATGCTATGAAGCATTGTGTCTCTTTGTGTTTAAATTCAAACACCAAAACACTTCCAGATTATTCTACATCTTACGGGAAGGTTTACTGATCACCAAAAGAGGATTATGATATGGTGTGAGAGGGTTCACCATTTTATGGTGTGATCACCACTCATATCTTCATCTCCCACTTGATCACATTATAATATTGGTGATAAAACCTGAGTTGAACATGTTAACCTTGGTACCAAAATTTTGCCTCATGCCAACTTTCATCTATAAAATTACTTCATAGATCGACGTCTGATTGTGACTTGGCCATACGTGCGCACGTTTTTGCCACCAATCTGACTGCACTCGTGTGAATGCGTTCTCCCACTGACAACACGCTCCAGATGACTTCAATTCACTATATTTCAAGTGAACGGCATCAATTTTCAATAATGGATTCATAGTCCATACCCAATCACCATTGACAACTTCAGCTGCACACATTTTTCATGTGTCAACCTGCACTGAAATTATTGTTAAGTACTTCCTTTAAAACCCATTCTTGAAGGTTTTCCTTAACACACCTTATCAGCGACTTTTTCCTGATCAAGCAGACAATATCATCAAGTTAGCATGTTGCATATTATGGACTTTACATCTCATGCTAATTATGATGTCCGTACCTTGTCAGTTCCTCTATCTTATTACTTGACCAAACACATGTTTCCATGTAAGATAGAATCGCAAAACATCGGTTATCTAGGCGTCCCCAAAGTCATCCGACTATGCTTTTATATAAGTAGCTAAACCACCTAGCTAGGCATTTTTCAATCCCATATTAGCTACATGTTCTCTGAATTTGTCCAGAGACAACCCTTTGGTCATAGGGTCAACCATCATCTCTTCTGAGGGTATATAATTGACTTTAATTTTACCTCTCTCCACTATGTCCTGAATATAGTGGTAACTTACATCAATATGTTTTCCCTTAGAGTTATTTGCTCCACTTTTTATTAATGAAATGGCAGACTGATTGTCACAAAACATATTGACCGGTCTGGTTGGTATACCTAATTGTAAACTGTCAACAAATCGTTTTATCCAAACCGCATTACTCACAGCTATGCTGCAAGCTATGTATTCAGCTTCCATAGTGTACTTTGCAACACAACTCTGTTTCTTACTTAACCAAGAAACTGTTGTTCCACCAAACAAGAACACATGACCACTAGTAGATTTTCTATCATCTACATCTCCTGCAAAATCCCCGTCAATGTATCATTTTATGTCTAGATCACACAAACCAAAACATAATTTCAAATTTTTAGTGCCTTTTAAATATTTGAATATTCTTTTGACTGCTTGTCAATGTTCCTTACCTGGATTGGATTGAAACCTACTTATCAATCCAACTGCATGACAGATGTCAGGTCTTGTGCTTGTCATAGCATACATTAGGTTGCCTACTGCCTGAGCATATGGGACATTTCTTATTTCCTCAACGTCAGACTTAGTTTGAGGACTCATACTTTTATTAAAACTTTGTCCCTTACAAACAGGCGTGCTTAAAGAATTACAATTATCCATGTTAAATCTTTGAGCACTTTGTCTAGATATTTCTCTTGATCTAGATATAACAATTTTGAATTTCTATCTCTTGAAATTCTAATTCCTAGAACATAGGTTGCAAGACCCATGTCTTTCATTTCAAATCTAGATGCCAAGAAAGTTTTGGTTTTTATAATCATATCTGGACAATTTCCTGCTAACAATATGTCATCCACGTATAAAGACAATATTGCTAACTTATAAACACAGTGATCTAATGGACTCACAACATAGCCCATTTCTAAAATGGTTTGGTGGAACTTCAAGTACCATTGTCTTGAAGATTGTTTAAGTCCATATAGAGATTTTTTCAACTTGTAGACTTTATCCTCGTTGCCTTGGTTCTGGAAACTATCAGGTTGCATCATATAAATTTCCTCTTTTAATTCTCCATTGAGAAAAGTTGTTTTAACATCTAATTGATACAATTCCAAATCCATCCTGGCTATTGTTGCCATTAGAATCCTTATTGAGGCAAATTTTGCAACAGGAGAATATGTATCTACAAAATCTATTCCAGGTTGTTGAGTAAATCCCTTAGCTACTAACCTGGCCTTGTATTTCTCCAAACTTCCATCTACTTTGAATTTATTTATAAGAACTCATTTGCAACCAATGGTTTTCTTTCATTCGAGAGATCAGTTAATTCCCAAACATCATTTTTCTTGATCGAGTCAAGTTCCTCATTCATTGCCTCAAGCCATTGTGTAGCATCACTGCTACTCATTGCTTCATTATAACTAGTAGGATCATCTACTAAGTTATTAAGTTCTTCAACTTGAAAAACATAATGATCTTTCAAAAACGTAGATGGACGTCGTCTTGCTCTCTTACTTCGACTTATCTCAAGATTTGAAGCAGGGAACACAACATCATGTGGTTGTCGTTTCCTCCCACTATTTGGTGGTTCTGGGAGAACTGGTGGTGTTGGTGACAAAAAAGGAAGAGAAGAATTCGAAGATACTTTGGAGAGCAATTTAACTTGTTCAATAAGAATAACAAGATCAGTGGATTCAAGAAAAATAGTATCTCTACTTTCTATTAATCTACGTTCGGGATGGTAAAAATGATAACCACTCCCATTTTCAACATAGCCAATAAACTTGCATTCCCAAGTTTTACTTTCTAATTTATCCTTTAAAGGTTTGGGAATAAGTACATGTGCCTTACATCCCCAAACTTTGAGATTTTGAATAATAGGTTTAGTACCATGCCAGCATTCGTAAGGAGTTAGAGGTTTGGCTTTTGTTTCGACTTTATTTAATATGTACGCAACGGTGA